AACAAGTCTTTGATCTTCTGCAGTGTTTCAAGACTTTTTCACATTCTGCAAGCAGTAGTTGCCGTTAGGTGCCATCGAGTCGACTATGAACAAAAGATCTGAACCTCAATGAATGAACGGAAATGCAAAATCTCTGTACATGTTCATTGAAATTAATAATAATAATAATAATAGTAATAAAAAGATCTGAACCTCGACCTGTTCTGTGCTATATTCACACTTCCTGACATACAAGAGCCCATCACAGCAATAATCACATCAATCGACCCGATTGACGGTCTTCCTCTCCTTCACCGACCCTCCACCCTTCCCAACATCATGCCCCTCTCCAAGGAATAGCACCTCCTAGCAATATAGCCCAAGTATGTGAGGTGAAGCCTCATCATTCTTGCCTCCAAAGAGTACTCTGGCTGCACCCTTCCCAAGAGATATCTTTAAAAATACCCTGTAAACTTCTTGTGCTAATATTTAAAACTATCAACCTCTTTCACTTTGAAAGGGTATTTTACCCATGCATGATTTTGTAACCTTACATATTAGTCTTTTGGAAAACGCCATTCATTAAATTGTGCAGGTCTTCAAAATGTTAACATTTCATAATATAAAACAATTTCAAGCAAGTTAATGCTGTCATTGATTTTATCAGAAAAATCTTTAAGAATTACAAAACTCAAGCTCACAATGACAGAAAGTTTTCAAAAATTCTAGTATTTATTTGAAAATTATAATACTGCTGGCAGAAAACATCAAATTCATATGAAAGGCTTGTTATGTTTTTTTAAAAGTTCCAAATTTCCAAGACTTAATAACCAGTTTGCCAAATAATTTGTTCAAATAAAAATGGTTCTGTATAATAAAAAGTTACCTACTTCAGCACTAAACTCAAAACAATAGTTCAGTTGTTATTAGTCAGCTTTGGCTCCTAAATGACTCCCTGTTCAATAGTATCTGACAATGCCTAGGGCGGCATATCCTCTGATCAGTGCTGCTGGAGTCTAATGCGGCAGTCACCATTTCTCTTTTTTTTTTTACTGGTGTTATTTTACCAAATACGGTGTTTTTCCAACAGGGATTGTTGACTGGACATGTTATTAGGAGGCAACAAAGTACGTGAATTGAAGTCTCTACATTCACAACTCCAAGGAGCATTCCGGCAAGTGTGCACTTCTTCAAAGACAGATTTGACTTTTTTTTTTCTCAGTCCAAGGTATGTTCGTCAGTCAACATCACACTTCAAAGGTATTAGCTCTTCTTTGGTCTGTCTTAAGTCCAACTTTTGCATATATACAAAGCAACTAAAAATGCCATGGCTTGAGGTCAAGCACCCCAAAGAGATACAATAATGTCTTTAAAATGAAATCATTTAAAGAAAGAGTGACATCATTGCTCCTTGGCAGACTCTTGCAGATTTGCTCAGTGTGATGTTCTCTGATCTCTTCTGCTCCCATGGACATTGATGGTGGACCCAGGTGAAATGAAATCCTTGGCAACATCAGCCTTTTCTCTGTTTTATCACATTACCTATTGTGAGGTACTGGCATTTTTACACATTATAGCTTTCAAGTTAATTGTTCACACATTTTGATCCAACTGTTTTGCCAGCTACATTTCTGCAAAATAATCTTTGTAGTTTGGTATGTTATTAGTAATGCTTTATACATAATTCCATTAATCGGAAAGACTTGAGACCTCAATTTCACAACTTTATCAAGGTTCGTTTACAAAATTAACATGATTACTAAGGTCCCTGTGTAGTGGCTGAATGTACTCGCAGCTGAGGAAGATGAGGAATCACTTCCCATGAAATTTAAGGACTCTGACACTCCCATCCAATTATCCCAGTCACTGAATGAATCCACCTCATAGAGGGCCTTACCCTCCTGCGCTGTCCCTCCATCCTCCCAAGCATGATGTCCTTTTCCAGGAACTGGTCTCTCCTTACATGCCCAAAATTAGTTAGATGGAGCCTCACAATCCTTATCTCCAAGGAGCCACCCGGTTTAACCCTTTCTAGGACTAATCTGTGTTTTCCTAGCAGTCCATGATACCCTCAATACTCTTCTCCAGCACCACAGCTCAAAGGCATCAATTCTCCTATCTTTCTTGGTCATTGTCACTTGAAGGGTATAGCCACTGTTAATTGCTAAGGTACCAGATGTTTTACCCATCTATCTTTTGCACCATTCTTGCAAATGTCAGAACAGTTAAAAGAGTCTTTGAAATAATAATTGTTTCTTGCACTGCAAATAATGTTCCCGTTTTGTGATCTAGTTTTTCATTTCCATAAATAAGAGATTTCTAGGCCTCACCCAGTGTCCTAAGAAATTTTTGCCTATCAAAAGAAATATTGATTTCCTTGTCGTCTTTCAGGAAAGTTTTAGTCACAACTTTTCCTCTTTAGTCTATCATCCACATTTACTCTGGTGGCTGACTGCAAGGAGTTGTGCTGCCAACTCAAATTCAAGCTGTTGCAATCTACTAGCTGCTCCATAGGAGAAAGGCTATTTCCTCCTGTGTAAGTTTTTGGCCTCTGAAAACCCAGTAGTTCTGATTCCATAGGACATAACAGTATGAAGTAAGAGTCAATGTTCTTATTTTTTTTCCATAAAAAACACACACCAGTGATATATTGAAAAGTTGGTAATGACTTTTTTTTGTGTGAATTCAATTTGTTTCTATATTCTTACATACTGCCCTATAATTTTATTATATTTGTCAAGTTTTTTATTAGGGTAACATATATACAAGAAGTCTGGAAGTGTTTTCTATTTTCACTTTTAAGATTCTTACTCTTAACAAAATTTATGAGACAGCATTAGTACTTTGTGAGAAGATATTTAATAATAACCTTAATTTTATGAGGTTTTGTTATTAAAAAAAATTTTCCCCATCTTGTATGTCTAATTTATTGCCGTATGATTTTCCATTTTGGTTTTTTAAAAGTCTAGTTAAGAATCCCAATGACTTCTATTACTTAATTATTTGTCATATCTCTGGTTTATCTGCTTGGTCTGGCTTTGGAGATACCAGTTTTATACTTTCAAAGAACAAGCTTTTGGCTTAATTGATTTTTTTGTGGTTGTTGTTTTATATATATCTCTATCTATCTTTTGTTATTTTCATTTTTCTATTGAAGAAGTGACTTTAGGATACATATTTCTGGTAGACCCTTAGGCAATTCAACCTTGTAACTCTGCTTTTAACTTAAGCATCTACATCAATTACTTTCTAATACTGTGATATTTCTGTTACAGCAGCACTTGATAACTAACACAAGCAATTCTTTGTGTCTGACGTACAGAAAGAGCAATGTCAGTTATTGACATTATTACAGAGGTGTAAAATAAATGTTCTCTTGAAGGCTTCAATCTAATAAAGATAATATTACTCATACGACTTATTAATGTGTTTTTATTAACTTTAATATATGTTGAGGATTTTTAGACAAGATTATGAGACAAAATTGGGAAAGGACACAAATAGAAAATTTTCAAAAAGGAAAGTAAATTACTACACTTCACAAAATGTTAAATTTTAAACTGCTGGCTAAAGAGCAATGAAGTACCACTTAATAACTATAACACACAAACACTGAAATTAACAGTCATTGCTGTCAAACTGGTATGCTATACTTTATTGGTAACTGAATTAATACAGATCTTGTGGAAAATAATTTGCAACACATTCAAAAGGAAACATAAAAATTTTCATATGTCCTTTATACGTGATACCAGTCTTTTGTAACAATATTTACAACTTTGTCTTCCTCTATTTTCACAAAAGACAGAAGTAATTGGTGATTCAACAGTTCACAATATGCCGCACAACATCAGTGACCGGTGTGCTAGCTAGCTGACATCTTTATACATGTCTGGGAAATGAAAGATAAGACATTATAAACTCTTAGCCAAAAAGTATGAGTATTAGCAGAGATAATATCAGGGACAGGATAATGATGAGAAGAAACCAATACAGAGTTTGAAGATACTATTCTAGTGATGTATCTTTAGATTATTATATATAATAATTTTATCGGGGTTCCATTTTCCAAATCTTAAAGGAACTTTATCCTTTTGAACAGAAAAGAAGAAGACATTAAAAATCACAATAATCATCAAACTTTTGAGATCTTCTGGAAGAACTGATAGGTCTACTTATGAATTCATACAAGTATCAGATTAAAGGAAACAGGTAAGATTTGATTTAGTCTGCTTCCTCATTCATTAGTAGATTATTTTGGTAGAATATATAAATAGGCTGGCAAAAACCAAAGTATGAGGAAAATACAGTTTAACCTGCAGAGTGGCATGCAATATACACTCTCCCAAGGTTTTCTTAAATCAGGATAATTAACAATAATAATAGTAATAAAAATACCCTTCAGATGAAATTACTGGCATACGGACATGATATACAAGTGTCATTAAAATGAATAGAATCATTTGAGATCTGCTTCCCAGGGCAAGTCTAACCAGGGATCTGGCACTGTGCCCTCAAAAAAACTAGCCTTAATTAGCTCAAAACATATATAACAGCTTTGTGTTCTTTTTGTTGGTCCAGCTACTAAGTGCTCTGAAATTCCTTTTACCTGAATAACTGCCATCAGCTGTAGAGAAACATATACAAATACTGCCTTAGGAATTACGCCAATTAAAAGTTATTAGTTACATTTATCCTATCATTTCATCTGTTTCTTTGTGTTCTTTATTTTATATATAGGGTTTAATACTAAACAAGAATTTCAGGCTCTCTTATACGTAACACATGAGACAGAATATTTTATAATACGCACAAAATCACAACCACAGTAATTGGACTTAGTTACACTAAATAAGATGAATCTATGTATATGTATAATGATTGTATAAAGAAAGATAAAAAAACACTGAAAATACAGATTAAGGAAGAGTACAAACATTAAACTTTCATATTAACAAATTAGAAAAACAAGTTTGTAAAAGTTCTTGTTTTAAAACAAGTTAGTAGAATAAATTTTTATTTCAAACTTCTACATATGATTATTTGGGTCCTTTTGTCTTGGATTTTGCTTCTTTTGGAACCTTTCCATTTTGACATTGAGTAAACCTGGACACTGTAGAAACACCATCCACAAACTTGGTTTTGAAAAGAACATTTGCATTGTTGAACATACCTTCTTTCAGGGACACTACAATGAACTTAAGGGGAGAAAAAAAGAAAGCATTAAAAATACTTTCTGCCTTATTTCTTGAATAGATTTACATCTACACTGGAATTAAGAACCGATCAGAAAAAAAAAATATCAGAAATAATTTTGACTTTATTTCTTTAAATGTTTGATTCTAAGCAACTTCATACTCTTATAAAAAACAGCTACATTTCAGAATCATGGCACTGTCTCTTGTCACGCAATGTGCTTCACAGGATATTCACTGGCTAAGATTTCAAAAATAGATCAGTGTTTCATCCAAGGCATCTCAGGATAGATTTTAACCACAGAGTTTTCAATTATTTGAGCATTTGCATCACTCAAAGCCTTCAGTTAATTCTGGTGGTCCACTGGGTAAGGAGTTGTGCTGCCAACGGTGAGGTAAACAGTTTGAATCCGCCAGCTGTTCCATGGGAGAAAGCTGGGCAATCTCCTCCTGTGATATCCTCCTACAGGGTCAGCTATGTGTCAGTTTTGACAACACACAACAAACCTTTCCATATTGGGACTCTTATCTGACCTACAGTGGCTTTTCAGAGGCTATAAACTGCACAGGAGGAGAGTGCCTATTATTCTCCCTGAGGGGCTTTATTTGGACTGTTTATTTTTGGCTGGAAATGTAATTCCTAACCTCTGGCCACTGGAGCTCCTTATGTTAGTTTTTAAGAGGTTAACTTTACCTTGAATGTTTCACTATCCACCACTACTGTCTGAGATTTTACTGTTTACAACCATCTACTGCAGCTGAAATCCAATGCTCTTTTGCTAGCTCTAGTCACCAAAGAAAAATACTTTCTTTTAAGATCCTACAGCATCACCACTAGTCCAAATGGAACATTTTAATAATTTTGAAAAGGTGACCTTTTTGTTGCTATCTGCCCAAGAACTATATAATAAACATGTAATCTTTGACAGATATAAATGCAGCCCTCCAGACAATGCATGAGCTATACAAATAAATGTGGCAATCTCAATCCTTATAACAACAGTGTAATAAAAACAAACTTTCTTAGTTTAAAGGGACTTTTCTCTGCTTTTTCAGCTATGAAAAATGAAACCTCCTAATGTGTCATATGATTTTTTGACATATAGGTGTAACCCTGAAATAGACTTTTACTTATTGTGCTTCTTTCTGGTAGATAGCTAAAGAAAATAACCACATTAAGGTGAAATCAATTCCAAATTATGATAAAATTGGATTTTCTTTTCACATTATAATCAACAATTGCAATGACTTACTTTCTTCAAAAGGAAATCCAACTCTTGTTATGCACCCCTTTGAACATATACTTAATATATTTTTAACTTCTGTAAAAGAAGAGGAAACTGGTGGCTTAGTAGTAAGGAAATATGTTGCTAATAAGAAAGAAACATGGTTTGGATCCATCAGCTGCTCTGCAAAAGGAAAAGCAATCCCCACCCAAGCATTTCACTGTCTTTGAAAGCCTACTGTAGGATGTTACAAGTCAGTTCTGACTTGAAGATACAGAGCAACAAATGCAAAAGAGTTGTTTTAGAAAAAACAAATACCATAAACAGTAAGAGATTCTCTCTCATGCCCCGAGCAGAAATGATTCACAGATAACCCTCGAGCATGTTTCTATGGCTGTTAATCACACAGGAGTGCCCATCTTTGTTTCTCCAAGTTGCAAGTGGATTCAAACCACCAGAGAGGCCTCTAGGGTAGCAGCACAACTCCATATAGACTAAGTCACCAATGTTTCCTAATAAGCTACTACTGAGACCTTTTTTGGGGGGGTTCTTACCTGAGAATGTGTGAAATGAGTGCGCAGCATCTGTCCAATATTCTGGGTATGAGAAAGATCCAAGGCTGCATCAACCTCATCCAGGATATAAATTGGTGCAGGTTTGAAGAGGAGCATGGATAATATTAATGACAACGCCACTAAAGACCTAAGAAAACAAAAGACCAGTGGAAGAAATGCAATTTTAGTAAAGTTAACAAAACAATCTGTCATCTTGTTATTATTATGCATAATGCCTTTGACTGGTGCCATTGAGTCAACCCAACTCATACTGAATCTATGTACAACAGAGCAAAACCTTAATCAATCTTGCATTAGCCTCACAATTTGCTGCTGTGCTTGAGTCCATTGTTGAAGCCAGTAAGTCCATTCACCTCAGTGAAGGTGCTCCTAGAGTTCATTGAACCTCCAGGGATGAGGTCTTCTTCCAGTGTCTGGCTCCCCCTGATAACATACCTGAAGTATGTGAGCTGAAATGTCACCAGGCTTACTGTTAAGAATCACTCTGGCTGCATTTCTTGCAAGAGAAGTTTGCTGGTCATTTGGGTGGTCCATCATATGTATACTCAATCCTCTTCAGCCTTCCTTTTCAATTGTTCAACTTCCACATACCTTTGAAGGACTGAAAATACCATGACTTGGGCCAATATCACTTGGTTCTTGCAAGTGCTATTCTTGCTTCTTAACGCTTGTAAGAGACCTTTTGCAGTGGACTGACTAATGAAATACACTGAAGGCTGGACTGTTCCTTCCATGGGCATTAACACGGATCCAATTAAAATGTAACATTGAATCTTTTCTGTGTTGATCATATTGTTTACTCGTTCATTTGTAGGATTTTTGTTTTCTTTGTATTTACATTTTTTTGTGCATCATCAGTATGTTCAAGTCTTCTTTGTTTTTAGCAAGTAAAGTTCTATTATCTGCATAATGCAGGCTATTAAAGAGTCATCTAATCCTATACTCCAGATAAACATCTGCCTATACTCCAGATTCTTGGATTATTTGCTCAGACTGAATAAGCACTGTTAAAGGATACAACCTTTCTTGATTTAAAAATCACCCAGTATTCTGTTTTTCTATACTTAAAATTGCACCTAGATCAGGGTATGGGTTCTGCATTAGTAGAACTAAGTGTTCTGAAATTCTCATTCTTAGAAATGTCATCCATACTTTGTTATGATCTTTGCATAGTCAATGAAACAAAGCTATTATCTCTCTGACACTCTGCTTTCAAGAACCATCTGATATATACAGAGATACAGTACAAATTTAGTTAAGACAGGTATAAGAATTATAACATTCAAAGTTCAACACTTCTCTTACCGTATTAATGTTTCTTTTATTTCAGCTATTTTCTCTCTTCAGTGAATTCTATTTACAATAAACTGACATGCACATGTCTTTCCATTCAAGTAATCAAGGATCTTTATGAAAAATTCAATTAAAAAAATTCTTCAACGTTGCTTCATGAGATTGTTTTACAACCTTAAAGCTTTGAAAAATCAAAAAAGCTGGAGATAAAATCTTAAACCTTGTCCTAAGCATCCTATTTTCATAACAATTATTATCATTATGCCATATTATCTTCAACATGTGCCCATAAGAAAAGACCATTTTAAGTGTTTCCTTTTTTCCCTCCCCCCATTTATTAGATGTCCAGGTGAAATACTGCTGATTTTCGTAATAACTGGCCTAGACGCATTCTTGCCACCTTTTAGTAAGTATGCACACAGATACATTTTTTTCAATATTATTTGAAAGTAACTTGCAGAGATGATGGCTTCACAGCCAAGTGCTTCACAGATTGCATACAGTTCAAACAATCATCTAAAATTTGTAGTTATTCCTTTTTCCAGATGTCAGATGCCTTTGGCTCTCTTCAGGCTCACTACTCCTTTTAACGATTGCCCTTTTCCTTCTAGGTATAAGACTTATTCTACCATCTCATGGCATCCAATACTAGAATAATCTCATTTTATAGCATTCTAATATTGTAATATTGTATATTACACAAATGTAAACAATAAAGAAATGAATGCATATATGGAAGGGAGAGGAAAATGAAATCAAGATTTTTAGTGAAGAAAATGAACAGAATAAAGTACAAACATTCCCCTTGACAATGAGGGTTGATCTACATGCAACCTAAAATTATTTTCCCCTTAGTAAAGTGTCTAACACATCAAACTATAAGCTTTAAGGAAACATTTTACCAAACGTTAAACTGCTGTTCTGGGAAGTGGTGTATATATTTTTTTACCATTTTAATTATGGACAAAACTTATAGGTGTCAGTAAGAAGAAAAACATGTATTTTCTAGTTTCCTCAAAATATACTGTGAGACCTTGTAAAAAAAACAGTTTTAAATGTTTAAGGGTCTAAATTGTAGGTTTCAATTTTTCTTACTATCCTAACAGCTAGTGGCCTCGAATCATGTGCCTTCGAAACTGCTGCAAAGCTTTTTGCCACTACTCTAGAAAACTTGTTATCATAAAAAATCTCCAAAGGATTTCATAAGGAATATTAATAAGTCACAGTTCTTTTTATGTATATAAGTAATGTTGTATGAAGATAATTACAATTCAAGAATTATTGACTGTCAGCTTGGAAGAGAAAATCCACAATAAATTCTAACCATCGTCATTATGTCAATATTATAATTTCTTTCAGGAGGCTTTAATTATTTAACTGTCTCCAGACAGAAGGTTAGGCAATCTGACCTAAGTTTCTGTCTACATGCAACTTTTAAAAATTGTAAGCAGTAGGTGAGATACACATCTCTAAATTCTATAGGACATCAGTTCAGCATTCATCATTCCTTTGTGTGGTCCAGTGTCTATCTGATACCATTTTCACCTCAAGTAATTCCTTTCATTTAATAGAACTACTGGCATCAAATTCTTTCTATTTTTGTCTGAAAAAGTTACAATGCCTTCATTTTGAAGAATATTTCTGCTAGATAATAGAATTCTGATTGATACATTTTTCTTTTAGCATTTTATAGATGTTATTTAAGACTTCTGGCTTGCATTAATTTTTTTATGGAATAGGTGAGGTCCATTTCCTTTTTGTTCTGTATGTAATATGACTGTTTTTGGTAATGACATGTCAGACAAGGGACTTCTATCTAGAATTTATAAAATACTCGAGCACCACAACAAGATAAAGGAGAATAATCCAATTGA